ATCTTTACTATATCAGGACACTCCTGCTTCCCTGTATAATTATATTATTCATGAAGCATCATCGTCAGCCACATTGGGACCTCGCTCTTTCTCGTGGCTGTCTCTTACCATTCCAGGACAACTTAATGGACAACCCCACTTATTAATAGACCACTAAAATTTTAATCCTCCGATACAAAATCTAAATTTTAGTGCACATAAAAATAGACCATATTATCAATTAAAATCAAAGTTAATAAAGAGACTCTCTATAAAATTAATTAAATTTTACTCTCTATGGTTTTTTAACCTCCTAACCGCTACGTATGCACTAATAGCCTTTTATTTTAACCCCTATTTCTTTATTTTTATCCTCTAACTTAATACCTACCTTAATTATTAACTTAACCTCCTTATCTATATCTGCCTCTATTTATGCCTCTAGTAAGTTAGAAAGAGCTTCTTTAGCCACTAGAGTCTCCGCTAGAGCTATAAATTGTTATTTTAGGTTTAGTATTGCCTTTCTTTTTTTCCCTCGCCGCAGCTAAGATACCTACTCCTCTAGGCTAATAATCCGCGTAGTCTTAATAGCTACCTTTATCTCTAAAGCTTCTAAGCCCTTTATAATCTTATTATACTTCCGCTTAGTTAGATAATTTTAATATTTAGCTAAATCTTTTACTTAGTAGCTTATTTTTAGCGTATTATCTAAGTATAATTAAGGAAAACTTAGCGTCTTAAATTATTTTAATATTTTTTTTTTATCTAGTTAAATTTCCGGATATATTAGAGCTTTATGATATTTTATAGGCTAATTTCTAATAAACCTCTAGCTAGATAAGATAATCTCTTTCCTTATACTTACCTCCCTAGCTTTTATATATACCTAAATAAAATTAACTTTATTAATTAGCATAGAATTAATTAAATTAGCTAGCTTTTAGAGTTCCTTTAGATATATACCTTTAATAATATTAAAAATCCCATTATCTAATAGTTATAGGCTATAAGAATAATGCGCTGGTGGGTAGTAGCATGCAAAGGCGCTCATAAAACCATAAACCCGCTCAGACTTGCAATAGCGCTCGTATTTATCCGTGATGAGTAACGGCTATAGGTGCTTATTCCGCTAGTTTAAGGACTTATTTATGGTCGCTGATAGGACCTCGTAGAGTAGAAGAGGTAATTCTATGGGTTTATATTCGTTCTATAGCGTCTTAAGTAACTCCTTCGATGACTTAACCCACTCTTTTTTCTAGTTCTCCTAGATATAATATTATTTATGCGAAGGGTAGAGTATAATAGCTATAACGTAGGTAGGTAATTTATTAGTAAGGCGATAATACTTATCTAGCTTTACTTAGCCTAAGTTATATATCTATGCTATTACCGGATCGTTGATATTTACCTCCTTACTAGCTTCGAATTATACTAATATAAAGTCTATAGCTAGGAGGATATTATTAAGTATTACAAATAATAACTTAAGAGCCTTAATCGTTATTTTTAGCTTCTCTAAGAAAGACTTAATTTTCTCTAATATAGTTTAGTCCTTTAAAGAGAGCTTATCTCTAGCGTAATTTACTTCTATTTATTTATTAAAATAACTATTAATTATATCTCTAAGATTTAAGGCCTCTCTTAATATAATATACTATGAGCTCTATCTTATATTATTATCTCGCGTAAGCTTATAGTTATAGCTAATAGTAAGAAACTTTTAGATATACTAAATACTCTATTAAATATAAATAATAAAGTTATAAAGCTTACTAAGAGGACCTTTCTTCTGCTATGCTTTACTATACTTTAGTATTATATTATATAGACCTAGATTATTACATTTAAGCTACTTATTATCAGTAATAAAGAAGAAAGCTTTAGTAGCGAGATTAATAATATAACCTTAGTAGCGGAGCTAGTAAACTTTAGGATAATATCAGATATTATATCGGCGAAGGAGGCCTATGGGATCTTAGAATTAATTAGTAGAAATAATAAGTTATACTAACTAAGCGAAAGGGATCTTATTATTTATATTGTTATTACTAGTATTATTTATTATAAAATATCTAAGTTTTAAAGTAAAGCCTTATTTATTAATTACTTCTAAAATAGCCGCAGCGAGGTAAGAACTATTATATTTATTATTAATATCTTTTAACGCTAAAATATAATAATCTAGCTAATTATCTTCCGTAATATAATATATAACTATGCCTAAGATAGCTAAAGAGTTAAGAAAAGTCTAAAGGTTATAGCTAATATAAATTCTTAACTTCGCTAACTATATGCGCTACTTAACCTTCTCCTTCTAGTCTTTATATTATTATATAATTTATTTCCTAATAGTCTTATATATATCTAGAAGCTAAGTATTAATATTATTATTAATATAGGCTAAGAGTGCCTAGAACTCTAGGCATTCTATAAGCCGAAATAAGATAAAATAGGCCATAATAAACCTCATATATAATACTTCGAGCTAATTAGGGTTAATTAAATCTCTAGATTAATTATTAAGCCGATAGTATTTATAGGGATTTTCTTTTGCTATAGCATAAGCTTATTCGAGAAGTATTTATATTATTATTACCTTAGTTATTCGCGGGGCTCCTTTTGGTAGACTATGGCCGTTAAGAGGAGGGTCTATAAGATATTTTATAGGAGCTATAGTACCCCTAGAATAGGTATATATTCTATTATAATATTTATAGCGCTACTCTTCTTTTCCGGTCCGCTAATTATAGTATCTTGTCTCTATCTCCTTGTCTGGCATATGAGAGAAGATCTATGATATTCTGGGCTTAGTGGAGGAGGTTATAGAGGCTGTGCAAGGTCGAGATTTGGAGGTTTGGCTTTTGTTAACCTAGCACCGATACATGAATGCAGACATCGAACAAAAGATCAGTGTAGATTGAGGATCAAAAGGAGCCTCTGTTTTTCTATCTAAAGGAGCGACGAGAGTCGGTCTCTTTTATACCCGTGTTCAGTCTGCCGATTCATAGACAGCAGGCTGTTGCCTGACGCTAGTTGTGGTCGTTCACTCTCATCGTGAACTTGTTCACGATGATCGTGATCCTTGCCTCCAACAGTAACCGAAGGTCTCCGGAGCTTGACACGGGGAAAATGGCTTTGACTTGCGCTCTGAAGGCGGCTTTGGCTTTGGACCGCGTTTGAGCTTTGGCGTCGCTTGCAAATTGGGATCTTTCGGTTCTAACGCCATCGTCACTATCACGAGATATATCGGACTGTTTCAAATGTCAAAAATAAGGCAGAATTGACTCCGTAAGTGAAGGATTAATCTGATATCTGATTCATGAAGAGCCTCATCGCCCTTGGCCCTAGAGGGCATAGCGAGCGGGGAAGGCGGGCCGGTTCCACCTTGCCAAGAGTCCGAATTTCTCGAGTTTCTACGGTACTGCAGACCAAGTCTCCGCAAAGACCTTGTTGGGAGGGGGAAGAAGCTGGCGGATACCGTGACGGTACTGGAGGGGCATGAGAAGGACATGTTTCTCGACTTTGCTTCCGGTATGCTGCAGTGGCTCCCTAAAAAGAAGACGGCGAAAGAGCTCCTAGAACATCCATTTTTCGACGCGGTGGGGAAGGATCGTTGATAGGAAGCGTGAGGTCAAGGCGTTATTTGTGAAGAAGATCTATTTGAGGTTGAAAGGAGAGAGAGAGCTATGGGACCCTAGTAGTCGACGGCTGCCTCCTCTATGGGCCAAAAGGACTCGACTCAATTAGCCTAACTTCGGGTCCGAGGTTGGCTCTTTTAGTAACGTAAATCAACGTCACCGCAGTCCACCCTGATAATATCAAATTAAATTCTCTAGTGAGACAAGCTCCGTCGCTTGGTAAGCGTCCAGGTCTTTTGGTCATCGCAGTTAGAGGCATGAAGGCCGAGTGTGATCAGCTCCATGGGATCCACCATGCACCTCGACGAAACTTGCCCGATTAGGCAATCGTGAGAACGTCAAGCCAAAACCTGCTTACTGGCGCCCCGCCCACCAACTACATCCCTTTCGCACATAAAAAGGACGCCTCCTCGCATGCTTTGATTTCTCCTGTCTTTCTATTCACACCAATCCTTGATTTCAGACATTCACGTCTCGACCATGTCTCTCGCCGGAAAAGTCGCCATCGTCACCGGTGCCGCCCGTGGCATTGGCGCTGGCATCGCCTTGAAGCTTGGCCAAGAGGGGGCTCGGGTTAGTCTTCATCTGCTCACCTACTAGACACGGCTAACCTCAGCTTCCAGGTGGCCATCACTTACGCTACAGACTCTTCAACCCCAAAGGCCGCAGCTCTGGTATCCCAGCTCGCTGATCTAGGCGCCTCGGCGATTGCCATCCAGGCTGATCTCGCCCAGGAGTCGGCTCCAGGCAAGATTGTTGCACAGACTCTATCTGGGTTTGGCGTCGACCATATCGACATCCTCGTGAATAATGCAGGCGTCGCAGACGTCCACCCCGTCGAGGAGGTCACTCCCGACATGTACGACAGCGTCTTCGCCATCAACACACGCGCCACATTTTTCATGACACAGGCTGTACTGCCGAGCATCTGCAAGGGCGGTAGGATCATCCACGTGTCGTCGACTAACGCCAGGACGGGCATGCCTGGCACGGCAGTGTATGCGGCGAGCAAGGTCGCTCTCGAGGCTTTTACTCGAGTCATGGCTGCCGAGTTTGGGCCAAAGTATGAGGTTACTGTCAATGCAGTGAACCCGGGTCCTGTGGCTACGGATATGTATCTCTCTGCCCCTGCTACGCTTCGGGACGCTATGCATGAGATGGTTAAGAATGTGCCTGCCGGAGGACGCATGGGGACTCCAGAGGACATTGCGGACATCGTCAAGTTCCTAGCTAGTGAGGAGTCGAGATGGGTGAGCGGGAATGTGGTTACGGCTAATGGAGGTTTGGTGATGATGTAGTCAGGCGCGAGGCTTGAAACACATCAACAGTCATAACTCTCCATTTCCAACAGAGATCGAGGTACACGGCGAGAACCCATCGCCATCAAGCCGCCGTTGCTTTTGTAGTATCCAATATATCCCAGATCCCAAACACCTCCAGCTGATCAAGCGCTGGCGTGGCAGAAAATATGTCTGCGACAGCCGCTGCCAAGCACTCTCCCAGAGGTCCCATACTTTTCAGGGCACAGTAGAGTATGCCGACCGGCGCGAGGGCAATAAAATTCGCCGCTACGCTTGTCTTTAACTCTGCTGCTATGTAAGCGCACTGCTGGGCGGCTTCTAGAGCTGGCTGACAGGGCAGCCCAAGTTCATTTGGCAACAGGAGGGGTGACGAGGTTTCTCTGTCCCGCAGCTGACTTTCGATATGGGCCACATCGAGATGCATGGACCCAGAGGTTCGGGACCGCAGGAGTTCCTGCACCCGGTATAGATACACTAGGGCGGCGTTGTAGTTGAAGATCTCGAGTGATTGATCAAGGCTCTTGAATCGGATCTGCCGGCATAGGAGGCGTCTGACTAGCACGGTTTCTGGTGAAGAGGCGATCTCTGAGGGGTCAGAAACCGTCGACACTGTTGCTGCTCCAGGGTTGATTCGTCCCCAGTCATATCGCCAAGCTCGGAGCTCTCGGTGTAGAGTTTCTGCTTTTGCGACATCATCAACTACCTGCTCAGGCTGTCGATTGCGCCCACCCAGGACCTCTTCGGATAGCCCGGGGAGACTCGAAGTTATGTCATAGAGTCTATCCATGCAGGTTTTATGGGTGGCTCGGAAGGGCGCTGACTTCCAGACGTCTTCTTCCAAGAACGTTCGGCATCGTTTCGCAAGGGCAGTGCATATCTTCAAGCCACGTTAGCTCGCTTGAATCCACCTTCGGTGGATCAACTTCGGGCTTGATTCTTACAAGCATCGATCTGCAAGACCTGAACATGGAAATAGTTTTGTCGTCTTGGTTGCAGTCGGGGCCACAATTTCTGGTGATAAGGCCTAAGCCCGGATTATGCTCCAACTTGACTGACTTTTCCATTGCATACTGTGGATCACTTCAGTTCTGTTCTGTCGAACAGCTGGATGGCTAACTCACGGGGTACATGCCCAGAATCATGACTGGGAGGATCAAATCAGCAAGGACTGAGCTCTGGTATACGTCCAAGCTCGACGACACAAGGCGCATGCTCTGTCCATAGAGCTGCATGCTTCGTTGTTGCAGTTTTGCATCAGAATTCCCGACGCCGAGATGTCCCATGAGGAGAGACCTGGAAGCTATGTAGCTAGCAGAGGTAGTATCGCCCTGCAATGCGGTGATTATGATCGACTTCCACCAGTGCGCCCAGGTGTAGCTAGCGAGGAAGTAGTCGAGTGATATCTGGCCATCAAAAGCTACTAACCTGAGTTCGGATGCATAGCTAAGGCTTGAGGTGCTATGCATCCATGACGGCCGAGAACTAGAGGGGGTTCTTTGTAAAGCTGATTGTGGGCCGCGAGCGACGCTATAGTTGACCATCCTCAAGGGCATCTCATATCCGCCGCAAGAATGCCCAGACTTGAGGCACCTTTGGCAAGATGGAAAACCTCGGTCTGGGTGCGATCAACGTCAGAGCCAGACACACAGCACAGGTTAGATGGTAACCACAAGGCGAGCCTCCCACGCTACTGACCGCATTTTACTCGACGTCTTCGGCAGGTTTGGCAATACCCGCTTGTCGGTGCTCGACCCATGACTGGATGTACTTGGATATCGGGAGTTCTGCTGACACGTTCCAAGTGGACTTGGCTTATTGATGTGGTTTGAAGTCAAAGTCACGATTGATGTTGCGATTACAGAGCCAAGGAGATGAGATAGCATCTGCTTTATTGCATACGACGCGGCTTTGGTTGCATATCGCGACTCTATACTCTTAATGGGTTAGTGACATGCTTGAATGAATGAATGAATGAATGAAATTTATTCCGCCCGGGAGGACTAACCTCATAGGGCCAAGTACGTTAGGCTATTTACAGTTCTAAGCTTTTCTGCTCGCGTCTCCCAGAAGCCCCACGTTCTTCCTCATCCGCTAAGTTGGCCTCGCCCCCAAAAAGAACGAGAGGCTTCCCACCACCGTTTGCCCGACCCGCCGCACGCCCCCCCGCTGCGCGCCCCATCCCGTACACCGGAACAAGAAATGTCCTACCGCCCCTGCTGCCTGCCCATAGCCGCACACGCCTGACCCCACCGCCCTAATCCCGTGTAGGTAGCTGTTGACCCTAGCCATACCCGTGCATAGCCGGGAGAGCATATCTGATTCGCGTCTCTTTAGTCTATCGTATAGGGGGCGTGTGTGTGCCTAGTAATGCCCTATTGATTCGCTTCGAGTACTTTTTGACCCCCTTGGGTAAGGTCTTTTGCCGTTACTGCTATGCGATCGCTAGCCTTATCCGTATAGAATGCGCTTAGTATGTTGGTTTCTTTGGTCTATGCCTCCCTCGTGTGGCTCTTCGCGCTTCTATCTTTGCCTTATTGCCTATAGGGAAATCTTTATTTCTAGCTAGTACCTATAGTATCTTAATAATATTATTACTCTTTTAGAGTTATTTAATATACTTATAGATCTCTTAGATAATATATTATCTTAATTATTATTATAGCTATATAATTATTTATAATACTAATTAGCTACTCGTTATAATAATTAATTATTAATATTAGAGCTGTAAAAGACTGAAGGATAGAGAAGATATAGTCTTCAAAGACTATAGGGTAGATAACTTGGATAGGAGGTGAATAGGCAGAGGAATCAGTCTTTATATATAGTTGAGAGACTAGATAAGAAGACATATAGGGTAGGCAAAGTAAGAAGGAAGATAGATAAGGTTAATAAGAAGAAACCAGCTTCTTATTAGTATTATATTGGTTGAATAGGTTTAAGATCTAAGGAACTAATTCTAAGAGAGGGCTTATAGCTTATATAGAGGATTACTCGGAATCTATTAGCCCGATTCGGATTAAAGTTATACCGTCGGAAAGCCCGAATTCTGGGTTTTAAAACGCAGTTGGTTTTACTAGTAACGGATAACTAGAAGCCGAGTTATGGCATAATAGAGATTAAAACCTATAGGGTTTTAAACTAGGATTTTTAAAACCAGATAGGAAATACCCTATGGAGGGACACGGATTTAACGGCATTAACGGGCTTTTAATAAAGTCCTAAGTCCGAGATCACGTGACCTTCCTAAAAGGGAAATAAGCCCAGAAAGGGCAATATTGACACTCCCTTATATCTTGCTTATCTAAGCAGATATAGCTTAGGTAAGCAATCTATAGGAAAGCGCATAAGCTAAAGTATAGGGTAATAAAATCCTAGGCTTATATCTTATAAGCTTATTTTTCTAGAATTTTATTTATAAAAGACCTTTTAATATAAGGACTTTTACAAGAGCCTATCTAGTATATATCTTAGTGCTATCGCTATAGCTTCTAGCTCTGTTATATATATATTCTAGTTATCTCTAGAGCCGATTATAATTGAGTATTTGGCTATTACCTCGCCTAGTTTATCGCTTAGAGTATCGCGGATAATGCTGCCTATGCCTATCTTTCTTGCCTTCTCTAAGGTATTAATTATTACTAGGATACCCTCTATCCTATTAGCGGTTTTTATTGCTATATCTCGGTCGAGGTTATACCTAATAGGTAGGCGGCTATGCTATAGTGGTAGTATCTATGCCTAGATTATTTTTATTCGCTTAATTATATTCTCTTTTTATGCTAGCGCGAGCTTCTTTATCGGAGATAAATATCTCTGGCTATTTAATATCTTAAGACCCGCGAGTGGGTATGTCTTTGGTAGGGTATTGTTAAGATTAGTTCGCTCATTTAATAATGTCACACGGATAGGGGTTATCCGAGCCGGATAGAGACTATCCGAAGGATCAAACACATAGAAGTCTCAGCTCTGGCAGCAGACTTTAACTATAAAAGACTAACCTTTAGACCATTATTAGATAGAGAAATGAAGAGTCATTCGTTGCCCGATTCACCGAGGGACCTTCTGCCCGGTCGTCAGCTAGTCATGCACCCGTGCCGAGCGACATCAATACATTCTAACAAAATCAAGTGGCCTCCCTTCATATTCATCAAGCTTAATGCTATGACGGAGACAGGCTTTATAACATACCGCAAGGCAGAAAGAAAAGAAAAAAAAAACCGATCATCACCTGCGCAACCCACTAAGTAGACTGTAAATTGAGGAGACGTAACTTAACAGACCGTTGAACCACATCGCCACCGTCTGCCAAAGAAAGTTCAGCCATAATAACATAAACAGCGAAGAGAATGCGGCAGTCTGACTGCCAGAAGAGAATGGGAACGCAAACTCCGGGGGCCCTGCCAATCCCATGTGTGCACCCTTGCACCCCAAGCCCCGATTCGCCAAAGAATTGACCACATCAGAGTCATAAGTGCTCCGCCAAGTCTGTGATACTCCGCCAAAGACAATCCACAAGGTAAGGCTACTAAATCAACTAACTAGACTATCCCATTCGAATACCCCGTCAAACAAGCGAATAAGGTCTCGAAAGAGGCATATAATGCCTGCTCGGTGATAGAAAGAAAAGAAATCCACGAAACCAGAGACGCCGTGAAGATATAAAGGAAGAAAGATAAAAAGTCAAACCGAGAGCCTCATGAGAAGGGAAGGCCTAAATTATGGCCGGGGTTAGGGCCGGGTACAGCCAAGGAGTGTGCTTATTGTGGGAGCAGATTCTTAGACTCTTCGTCGCTGATCAAGATTGCGTGAATAGGGTCTCGGCGGTTCTCGAGCAGAACATAGTCGCAGTCGACGTAGGAGGGAAGGAAGATCTCTATGGACGTCATAAATTAGCCTAGAACTGAAGTATATGTATTATACGGTAGCATACCTGGATTCTAGGCGAAGCCCTGGCTAGAAGAGAGGTAAAAAATCTAATTAAGGTATTATCAGTATAAGCTAGCAAAGATAGGCATATGGCCCCTCGTCTTCTAGGGAGCGGAGGTTAGAGCCTAGACCAACATACCAGCCAAGGCGGACCATCCGGGTCGCCGATGTTAATGACGGTCTATTCTTGCATGGAGATGGCGGAGCCTAGGACGATAGTCAGCAATATTACGCATGAATGAATGCTGATCAATAATGTCATGTCATTGCCGCTATAGTCACGTCAGATGGGGAGGAGGCTCGACATACTAACAAGGGTCGGTCGGCGGGTGTGCAGGGCCTTATCCTTGCCGGCTGATGGCGGGGCCGACGAGGGCGAGCTCAAGGAGGAGCTGTTAGCAGAAGAGCTGGTGCGCTTAGGCGAGCGATGATATGGTGTAGCTGAGGGGCCAGCGGAAATGGCAATGGAGGACGGCATAGTGTGAGGCTATAAGAGGCAATGATGAGGCGGGCAGGCCGGCCAGAACGGGATCGAGGGGCTATACTGTGTGATAGACGAGGGATGACCCAACTCTTTCTCATATAAATAAGAGTAAACACGAGTCTGCGACATACTATATTCGGTGCCGAAAGCGGGAAGTGCCGTGAACCTCTTGGGTAGCAAGAAAGCGGGGATTACATATATGAATGCCTTATTACGATAAATGATGCTATTAAAATGACTCGGTCTTGGCGATAATGCTCGAGGTCATCCTGCTTGACTCCTTGTGCTTGGTCATAAGCTTATCATTCGTCATACCTCTGGCCCAAGCAAAGAGGCGAGATCTAGGAACAAGTTACTCGCCGGCCAACGTACCCTATCTATCTGACTTATGCTCTCCACAGCTTCCATGAGCAAGGAGTTTACAACGTTGGATGTGATGTCGCATTTCTCAACACTGCCTCATTCTCATCCGACCTGTAGCCATGGTGCGTGGGCGTCCAGATTGAACGGATCCGGGGCAGGCGGGATGGTGGGGGCTACGTAAAGCGCAGTTGAATGATTTATGGTGCACTTAAGCGAATGGGTGTAAATTAGACTACTTTCTTAACATCTGCATGCCAATAAAGTAAGGAAGGCGCTTGGATTAGTGGGCAAGGGCCGGCCCGCTTGATCTAGGGTTGCCAGAAGGCTTCGCTCGAGAGCCATCACCAGCATCTGCCCGTTACTGAATCGCCTAGTCCCTTGGTGCCAAGTACATCGTGAGCCTAATGTTGCTGCTGGCTACGGGTGACCCCGGGCTCCTACCGCTGTTTGTCAGCCTGAGCGGCTTGCGGTGAGCACACCCCGCACACTAACGCCCAGAGCGGACAAGCTCCAGCTGGCCACACAGGCGGTCACTCAAAGAGGGAAGGGAATAAAGCCAGTAGGGGCCGAGACTGGGCCGCTCTGACCTCTTAGAAGGAGCAGGTGGAGGCCAAAGCGCGAGAAAACGAAAGCTCGCGCTATGTTTCAGAGATCTAGTAATTAGCTCACGCCTGGGACGCTGGGAGTTACTAAAGCTACGAGAGCATGACATCATCGGTCAATCAGCACCGTTCGACTAATGCCGACAGCTTTTCGGGCCTGAGGTTCGAAGCCTTGTCAAGTAACTGTAAGGACAGAGTGAACTTGATAAGAAATACCCAGGGGATTAGGTGATATACGCAACCCCTCTCTTCATAAGAGAGGGGGCGTCAAAACCTGTAACTCCGTCACTCCTGTAACCACTGTCA